TTTTTAATTAAACTTAAAAAATTTAAGTTTTATATTGAGCCAAAAAGCGTTCGAAGACTTTTGGCGGGGGTCTGTATTAATTTTTAGGAGTTATTACACATTTTTATAGAATTTTAGATAGATTATACAAATAGTTAGAGAATTTAAATAATACTATATTCTTTCTTTTAATTTTTAAATAATATTTGTATTTATTAACTTTTTACCAAATTTACTTTAAGTTATCTTTTCTAAAAAATTCACAGATACAAGTTAAAAGGTTACTTTTATAGAAATTATATATAAAATTAATATTAGATTTTGCTGAAAGAAATTAATTTATCAAATCACAAATCTAAAAAATCACTATAATATGAACTTTTTAACAAATATTATAACTTTTGTTTATTACTAAATCTTTATTTAAATAATATTTTTAAATATAATAAATGTTATAATTTTATTACAATAGATATAAAGTAGATATATTTTTGAAATTCCATTTCAGTCATTATTGAAATTTATATAAAAAAATCTATTTTGTTTAATTTATTAAAAAATATCGGCATTTTACATGCAAAATTCATTGATCATCTAATTTTTGATTTATATGTTATACAAGCTTATAATTTTACATGTGATTAATATTGGTATTGTACTTGAATTTTAATAGATGTTATTAATTAACTTTAAGAATTATGAGGGATCAGATACTTATGATCGCTATGGTATATAACATTTTAATTAAAAAATTTAATTTATCATTTTTTTAAAAAAAAGAAAATAAACGAAATTAAAAAAAGAAAATAAAAAAAATAAAACAAAAGAGAATAAAATAAAATTAAAAAATAAATTAAGAAAATAAAATAAAATAAGAAAATGAAATTAAGAAAATGAAATAAAAACAACATTTTAAAAAAAATAAAAACGAATGAAAAATTTTTTATAATTATTACCTGGTAGATACATTTCAATTTTGTCTTGTATTTTATATATTACATGCTTGCATTATAGTAGGCAAATTATGATTTTTCTTGAGTATGTCTCAATTTAAAAAAGTAAATATTTTTAATATAAATCTAAAAATTAATTAAATGTTTTTAATTATTATCTGACTTATCTCAAAATTGAGTTCTGAAGAGTTTGTAAAATCTTTTTACTATATAGTCACTTCTTCTTGCTCCAATTCAATAATTGCAAAATTTCTCTAAATTTCTATACTTCAGTGAACAGAATATGTTATATGATATCTGCAATTTATTCATCAGGCTACACTCTGCCAGAATCTTATTTTGTTACTTCTGTATCTGATATAATACTTTTCATTTCTTCTTCTGCTTTTCTCAACTAATAATTTATTTATTATTCTTCCAAATTATTCTAATAGTCATATTCGTTTAATTTAAAAGATTCAAAATATAAAATTAAATGATTCAAAGGTAAAAATTTAATGATTAAAGATTCAAAAGGTGAAAAATTATACAATGGTAAAAATACTTCTCTTTATAAATAAATTTTAAATAATTTATCTATTTGATTTGATATCTTATGAAATTCTATACTCATGCTTGAAATAATACAATAAGAACTATTCTTGATCGAAATTCTAATTTGTATTAAAACAAAAAGTCAAAATAATAATTTAAGCATCATATTATAATTGTGCATCATACTGGAGTTGTTGTAATAATAGGAGCACTTGAGGACTGTTCCAGTTCTTTTGTCTGGGTAGTGTTTGGTTTCTTGGCTGGTTTGCTAGAAACTGGTGAGGCTGAACGGCCGCGTTATTAATAATAAATATTAAATTATTCCAAAAATAACAAGCATTTCGATTAATAATTAATAATTAAATTTCCAAGAATCAATTTAAATTAAAAATATCTATCTTGTCTTGGTCATTTGATAAAGGTTCAACTTTTATTTAGTACGCCCTATCATTACAAAACAAGAAAATCATGCGAGGTTACTATCAGCTATAGAAATTTTAATAATAGAGATCTCATATAAATAAGGCAAGCACCCTAGTACAATAAAGTTTAGTGTTAATGTTGTCAATAAAATCTTTATGTATAATAATAAAAGCGTTTAAAATTTTACATACCTATAACTTGGATTATATATGATAAATGCTAACCGGGTATAAATGGGTAATACCCGCGGGTAATTGGGTATAACCGGATTCTGAAATTCTGACGGGTCGCAGCTCTAATTATAACAAAGATAATTAATGATATTTTTCAGATGTACTGTAAGGTAAATAGTTATTGACTTTCATGCATTAGGTTTCGATATGTGTCAGGCAAAAACTGGTCAAAAAATCACGAACTATTGAAAAATCTGGACACGCAATAATGTGGCGCAGTAAACGATTTAAATTTCAGTTGCTCGATACTGCATACGTGGAAGATAAGATCAAATTGCTTTGCTTTAAGAGGGCGAACTACAATATTAATTTTTCTTATTTATTAAGTCCTATAAACGTACATTTTGATTAAAAAAACATACAAGATAGGGTAGCAGGTTTCGAACTAGTAGTAGGATAAATCTAGTTAAGAAAAAACCCCTTTTTAAATTTACAAATTCTATTTTTCTATAATATTTCAATCCTTGTAGAAGGTGTTCCAGAGTGTCCCATCGATCCCTGATAACGCCAACCAAAATTCAAGTTTCCTTTGTAAGTCAGACTGTCTCCTTTATGTGGTGAGCCGTAGTACATTTCCTTGTATAAATCTTAATAACATAAGGTAAATCTTTTGATGACGAAGATTTTGGTAAAAAAAAACAAATTTATAATATTACCATAATCAGCCTCAATAAAACCATCATAAATTTTTAAGTCCCACCAATTATCGTAAAGGTTGTAATCAAACGAGACACTCCACAGAAAGACTAAAGATTGCTTTTGATCTCTGATGTGGTATACAAAAATACCTACAGCTCCCGTAGCTACAGGTCCAGCAGTCTTGCTAGCACCCATATCAAACCTTCATCACTTGAAACCGGACCGGGAAGCCCCCAATTAGATGTTCCAGATACAAAGTATAAATTATGTTGATCAAGGATTTGTTTGGAGTGATTTTTAACGGTTTTTCTCTGAACTGAACCAATACATTTTAATGCAAAAAGAACTTTCAATATATGATTATATATATCTCTGATTACAAAACATAAAGAAATTAATTTATACATCTAGGACTCTTTGAAGAACGCCGGCAGTAATTGATGCAATTGGAAGAACAACTGCCATAATTGCGATGAAAAGTGGTTGATGATAAATAATAGGTACACTCCTTTTATTAGTTTTAATTCTGTAAAATTGTACGACGAAATAATATTTGAGTTTTTTTAATAGCGAAGGTTTCAATGGAGGAAAAAGCAGTTCGCACATTAAAAATTCGCTTGATGTATTTTATCCAATTTGTGTATGAGAAAGTCATATTCATTTACATACTAAAAAGGTAAGCGCTGTGTTTTGGAGAAAAATTTATGCAGTCAACAGATGGTCAGACGACAATCATTTTGTCAATGTCAATGGTGAGGGTTGAGTGGAAAAAACAATGCGTATGTCAAGAAAAATATACATGCATTACGGAGATTTTGCAAGTCACCATACGCCGTGCCTCTAGATAAATTCGATTAGATATTGAAAATTTTGACCAATAAAAACAAAAGCATTTCCGGGTACGAGAATTTTTCATCATATATTGCGTTGACAACATATCGTAGCAATTCCATCACGATCACATGACTGTCATGACAATGTAGTAAAAAAAATAAAGCCCTTATGGACGAAGAATATAAAATTTAGATATGTGACGCAATGCGATAATCATCCTCAAACACGATGGGGTTGTTGTCTGATCTTGTGTAGTGTTTGACTCCCTTGTCCAGTGATGGAAAAAAAAAAAAATTGTTTTTAGTATTACTGCATTGATAAATTTTCAATTAATTGTATAAATTGTTTTATGTTATGAAAGTGGTGTTAAAATATCGATCTTCGACCGATATAGTCTCGCTCAATAACATACGAATTATTTTCTATGTAAAGGTAATTAATAATAGAAAAAAACTATATATTTTTAAACCTGTGATTTCTTCGAATTTGACAATTATTTGCCGCAAGAATTATAGTGTTTTCTTTTACACTAGATAAAGTTGCTATCAAAAATCACTGTCTGTGACTCGATTTTAATAGCTTACGCAACGCAAAATAAAAAAAGAAAGTTAACACCGCACCGTTATAACACTATACAAAATGCAAAATTTTGTCATAATCTGCTATGTTATGCATAACGGGCATAAAAATGTTTCATATACTTCCACAATGAAAATCATTATATTGCATTAGCAATATTGATAGGATATTTGTTTGAACAAGGAGATCAAATTTTTATAACCGAATGTAATGGAGGTATTTTGCGTTAATGCTAAACAACATATTCAAGATCCCCTGAACAGCGCCCATAAGTATGTGTTTTATACATAGTTCTAACATTGATAATTGTGCTTCGTTATTTGCTGTGTTATGGTGGATTAAATATAAAAAATTAAAGTAAGATTGCTTCATAAGGGAAGAAAATAGAGACTCTTTTGGATACATATTTTTGTTTATCATTTTTGTAAACAAAACAATATTAAGATTTTGCGGCATCAATTCAAGAATTGTTTTCTTGCATAAAATGAAATTTCTAAATCTAAAATTTCAGATAACAAAGAAAATAAAAAAAAGATCCATTTAGCATTTATTCCATTCAATCACAAGATGCAACTTTCACGTCTATTAGAAATCGATCATTCTTGTTTAGGGAATTTTCTTAATTAAAGTATCGAACCATAAATAATAATAATTGACTAATTATTCGTATATATAATAATCCAAAATTTCACGAGCGTTACGATATATAAAATAAAAAGAAATTTTCATTTCTAAAATGTACCAAATATATCACCACCGTTCTATTCGTTCAATACTAAATCACCTTTTAATTCACATGAATTTGAACAACCTTTTGATTCCTCCTCATCATAATAATGCTGCACAATTACTTGCGGCTCAAGTAAGAAACGGTAGAATTCGAATATTAACGGGAATGGATTTATTGAAACAAAACATAAAATACGAAGCAAATCGATTACATGTGTATGGTCGATATATAATTGATCTAGCAACAAATCGTATATGGCATCATCATTTATCAACTTTTCAAAGACAACAATTTATAACTTTAGCAAATAGCTTAAACGGTATAAACCGAAGACGAGCATCGCAACTTCGCATGACAAATAACGTTGACACTCTTAACAGAATCTCTCAGATAACTCTACCGCAAGCGATAACTAGCACATTTGAAAACAACTTTTTCAACGGAATTAATTTTCCCTAAATCCCAGCTCCCCGAAGGTATCATCTTTATGAAAATCTGTTAAAATTCACAACGAAAATTTATTGACTTTATTTTATAGACGACGGATTAATCTTACATGAGGATAGAAATAAACATACAATTAAATCTTTGACAAGAATATTTCTCAAAGAAAATAAAAAGATAAATGCTCTATTCAATTTATTTATTTATTATTTTTTTTTGGATAAAATCGATGGGGATAAAAGACAAGTACTACGAATACTTTTTTGCTTTACCCATTAGCTCCGTCATTAACGATCTGGAGATGTGAGATGTGACGGCACTTTCCGATCCCGTTTATAAGAGCTTTTTCCTTTGCATACCACAGTGTAGTAAACCCAGTACTAGAACAGATCCGACTGCAATACCTTTAATTTCACTTTGAACTCTCGTAACTATCAGGAAAACTACTATAATTATGGCTTGTTGTCACTAAAGACTTGTCCGAGATTGTGACTGTATCCAATTGAATAATAACATCACTGTTATTTTTGTGATCAGTCCGAACTTTCAACGCAACAAGGTTGTTTCGTATCTCCTTAAATTTTGTCGAAGAACTCTATCCGTCAACATATACGTCATGTCAATAAAGTTCATTCCGTCATTAGAGTTTCTTTGTGTTCTCTAGACATAAATTTAAGATGAAATAATAGTGCGGAAATAAAAGGGAGCTATAGATAAATAATGTTTCGTCTATTCTTATTTTATTTTTAATTTCTTGTATGACAAGATGTAATTTTTCGAACTTTCTGATTGGCCAAAAACTAGTAATTAGATATTTTAAATAAAAATATTATTTGTTATTAATTTTCATATTTACACCAAAAATAAAAAACTGCAGCATATTGCGGCAAATTCTGATTTAATTGATTATTTATAATTTGAGTTTATTGTTAATATATTGCCGAAGATTGCAGAATGACTAAATTTTAAAATTTCTTACAACAAGAAATAAAATGTCCATATTATATTTTTATAAATTTTGTGATGGAAAAAATTATGAACTTTTTAACTGTAAAGTGTCAACATCTGAATTTAAACCTTCAATTATTTCAAGATTTTTGATTAAACCGCTATTAAAAATAATACAATTGAGACTAGCATATTCAATTTGGTTAATTATATTTATTTTAGCATCAGATAGCTTATTAAATTAATTTTTATAATCCTTTTTATTCAACAATTATAAAGAGGCATAAGCAAAATTTGGTCATGTGATATAAATTTGGGTGTGATTATTGAGATAATGATCATTATAATTTTAAATTTATAAAGTGTTAAGTCTTCCAAGTAAATTCTTTTTATATTCTCTTTAAAGAGCTGGCAAATTTAAAACACATCTTTTTAAAACTTTTCCTTACAGAACAGAAAATTTAAAACAACTTGATTTTTTAGAGAGTTAACAAATTCCTAGGTATTATATCCTCCTTAAAATGTATTTAGTGTTTATTCTATTACTCTGATTTCATCCTGAAAATTTATCCATATAAAATATATTTCCAAGAATTCTTGTAAGTTATAAAATTTTATTATTAGAATAGGACCCAAACAATATATATAGAGGTTAGATAAATATTATAAAGTTTATTAAGATCATTAAGCAAATTATTTTTAATTCTACTAAGCAACCACTTATTATGATTTTAAAAGTTTTTATATTATAATTGAAGTGCTCTATTCTGAATTTTATATTATTGTGAATTATATGAATAACATTAAATTTATATAGTTATATAATTTTATAAACTGAATTTTTCTAATAAAATTTACTACTATGTATAATGAATCAGTGATATATTATAGAATATAATAAAATAATACTTGATTTAATAAATTTTTTTAATAAATATTTATTTAAAATTCTAAAAGAAAAAAGATAAAAAGAAGTCTTTTAAATAAAAAGAATTAGAACTTTTTTAATATATTTAAAAAAAGAAATTTGTTTATAAAATCTAAGATTTAAAAATAAGGAATTTATTTAAAATATAATATATCAGAAAGAATAATATGTATTATTTTAAAAGAAAAAGAAAGTAATAAGAATAAAATCAGATTCTTATAAAGTTTTACTTAAAAAATAAATTAAAGTAAATTTTTACAAATTAAATAGGTTTTAATCTTTTGAATTAAAAAAGCAATAAAAATAATATCTATAAAAAGTATAATTTTGTAGTATTATAAGATAAACAAAATTAAAAACATTGATAGTAAGTTTAAAAATATTATAAATTTGAATATTATCTAAACATAGAGAATCTGCAAATGTTACTTTAAATACATTAGATGATATATATAAAATCTATAAAGTATTATTATAAACTATTCACTAAATAATATTTTTAATACAAATGAAATTAGATTTTATTGAAAAATAAAACCAAATTGTATATCATTAATTAGATCAGATAAATATATTTGATTTTATAATTATTATAAATATTTATAATAGAATATTATAGCTATATCTATAAATATATATATATCTTCCTCTCATATCATATAATTTATTTAATAATAAATTAGATTATCATCAATTATTTGATCAATAAATTAGACTATCATTTATTATTTTAAATTTTCGCTTTTATTTTTTTTAAAAAAAACATTACAAACATTTTTTTTTATTTCTTTTAGCTGAATATAATTAATAAATAATTTTCATAATTTAAATGTGATTTACAAACACATTAGATAAAAATGAATTTTTAAATGAAAAAATAAATCTAAAAAAAGTAAAATTAAAGAAAGCAAACTTAAAGAAAATGTATCTAAAGATGGTTTATTGAAAGAAATTTATGAAGAACAAATATTTATAACATTCAAGCTTCTTAAATAATATTTAAAATGATATGCTTTTTAATTAAGATTTAAAATAAGAATAGTAAGATTAGAAAAAAAAAGGTGATATATAGAGAATCTATTTATATTAAATATGGATTTAAAGTAAATACATCTTATTAAAAGTGTTAAATCTGATATTTATTAATAAGTTTATTAATGAGTATAATCATTTATTATAAGTATTACTCTTCTTTAAGAATTTTCTCTAGTATCATAAAAAATACCATATAATATAATGAATAATATACAATTTTATATACAATGTATTATTTAGGTATTATTGTTTTAAAGTGAATATTATAAAAAGATATTTAGATCAAGATATTTATCATTAAGACCTTTATAATATAATATGCAAATTTAAAGCTAATATGCAAACTAAGAATGATACCTTAATACTATTTATTTAGTTGAATTACATACAGAAAATCTTAAATAGTATTTTAAATTAGATTTTAAAGGTATTGACAATAAACTAACTAAAATCTTTTAGATATTAATAAAGTAAAATAAATGTGATATCAATATTATAAATAATAATACTTGCAAAATTAATAAGTAACTAATAATTAATTATATTTATCATAATTGATTATGATCAATGAAGTTAAATAGTAGCAACTGTGATTATTTATGATAAAACTATATCAATATATGAATGGATATTAGAATAAATAAAAAATGTTACAGGAGTTCTTCAACCAGTGGTACTCTTTACCAATACATAAAGGTCTTTTTAAAATTATTAAAGAAATGTAAAAAGAATAAAAATAAGTTTAACTCAACATAGAATCAATTTTGCAAGAAGCATTACAACCTTAATAAAAAAAACAAGATTGTGAGTATAAAAATTGAATTCAAAAAGTATATAATAATCGTAAAAATAGATCACTTATGGAGTTTTTATAAGAAATTGCTCACAATCTTTCATTTTAGGCAGTTTGTAATAAAATCTAGTCATTTACATATTTTATCATTGTTACATATTAATTTAGTTTATATGTCTATAGGCAATTAATAAATAAAAATATTTCTAAAGAATTAAATTTATTGAAAAATATAAATTATAGCATTTGTAATTTTTTAACTTCAAAATATTATTTTTTGTTAGTGAAATGATCATTAGTAAAATGTTTATTAGTGAAATGAATATGGTAATGAAATAAACATGTCAATGAAATAATTGTCAGTGAAATGTTTGTTACTGAAATGAACCTGTCAGTGAAATATTTATCAGTGAAATAATTATCAATGAAAAGTTTATCAGTGAAATGAATGTGTCCTAGCAAAATTATTTGTATATAAATTTAATTAATTCTTATTTAAAAGATAACATCAATAATATATTATAAATACTTTTAAAATTAAAGATATATTCATATTCTGATTAAATGATTAGATTGAAATTTACCATAAAATGACATTTACTTTTATGACAGTTATCATATTAGGTATGATAAGTTTTTTTTATTTCAAAAGAAAGAACTTACTTAGTTAAAACTTTTTAATCTAGATAAATAAAATGTATTAAGATCATTAATATTAATCTTAATTCATAGAGTACATCAATTTCACAAAAATCATAAACTAATAATATATGTATATAAAAGATTCTTTTGTTATTATGATTTTAAGTATTACTATTGAGAACTAACTCATTATTATCATACTTTTATTATTTTTCAATAATCTGTTTTGCTTTGAAGTAGTATAGTCTATGTATTTTCTTTGATAAAACATTTAAAATTGATTTATTTATAAAGATTATTTACTATATCTGTATTAAAGATGGCGTTGCAACTAGTTGCAACTATATGATGCTTATTTGTTACTGGTTGCAACTAGTTGCAACTCAATTTTTATTAATGTTACAACTAGTTGTAACACTGTGATGCTTATTTATCACCAGTTACAATCAGTTGCAATGATCTTTAGTCTGCATTAATTTTTGTTAAAATATGAAAATGAAAAGTTATTTAATTTCTAATTATTTGAAAACAATATGTACATTAATTAATACCTGCATTTCATAAAAAAAATTACATCTTTTAATTAAAATTTATTATTAAAAGGAATAAATATTTTTGATTTAATAAGAAACTAAATTAAAATTAATAATAAAAATATTTAAGGAATTG